ACGCGCCTATCCCGTTTATGTCTCTAATAACAAGTCTATGACTTTCCATGCCATAGTCTTTTGTGTGCCAACCCACAAATGTTGCGGTTCAACAATGAACCTAACCAAAGAAAGCAGTACCAAGAGATGCCGACTACGATGCCGGCGAAACGTCTGGGAATGTACCAGGTCCACGGTCCGACTTTGGAAATGAGTATGCATACAATAGACTCCGGACAAGCTGCGTTCCTCTAAGTCTTTCTATCAATATGACCAAGTTGCGAAAACAAGATCAAACAAATTCTATACAACGAAAGGAGACTGCGACCACACAAAAGACCATGCCATCTTGGTCTTTATAGCTTAGATTATATTTATTTAGGTTTTGTTAAAAAATTCTTAATCTAAGTAATGTTGCATATAAAACAAGACTAAATTCCGATACTACATTCATTCGTGCATTAACGGAGCAATAGAAGGAAGTAATAAAATGAATTAGTTTGAATAAATAACCTGTTGATGAAAGTTAGACAGAAGAGTATCATTCAGAGCGTCAGTAATGTCAGAGTCGGTTGATGTGACTGTTACGCCACCAAATAGAAACAAATGTGAACTTCCAACGGCTACGGAAGCATGTCGAGCTCTAGGTCGAGGCATAGAATGTCCTGCAGTCCAAATATTCTGATCAACTGAATATCGATATACAGTGGAGACAATGCTTCCCGCCTACCGAGTTTATTTGAAAAAAAAGAATAGAAAAGTAACAATAGCGAGATATGAAAATAATAAAAAGAAAGCAATTTTTGGACACTGCATATAGTAAAAAAATTTAACAGGGTGTAGATAATTAAAATTCAACAATATTTCAAATTCCAATCACAAAATTGATACTATGGATAAGTAAGAAGATCATTACTTAACAAAAATTAGCCAAATAGAAGGCCAGGAAGACTGGTCAGAGGCGATCTAATTTACATTCGCCTAGAAAGTATAGATGATTCCTAATACGGGTTGGAGGGCTGTACCAATGAATACCAGAGCCTACCGAGATATTA